AAACAACTATGCTCGTACAAACACATTGAAACATGACTCATAGACAATGACGTAATCATTCTTTGACTTCCTCACCCCACATTGGACTGAACTAATCTGGCAGAGACTACAAGGCATGCTTGTACTTGATGGACTTGAAACTCACGTTTCATGAACACCTTGATATTCTCTTTGGTAACATGCTCATGCCTGTGGCTCTCTATGTTCCCATGCTAGTGATAGGAAGTTCTCTAAACGAAAAAAAAATTATCTAAAGTCTGGGTCATATTGCCCGTTGATTGGTTAGTCTTCTTTTAAAGCCTGCTTGAGTAGGAGGTGGGCTTTTGGGGTCACTCTGTTTTCATGCCGAATCACTAGAAGTGTGTAGTTAAAATAACTAAAACTATAGAGATCGAACAATCTGATGAGGTTTCCATTGGGTTGTAATTTCAAGGTCCGCAAATAGTATTCATATACATTACATGTATGCTTACAGAGACGAAAATTTTTAAAACGTTGGCCATTCGGTGTGAAGACTAAATGTAATTAATTAGAATAAAAATATACAAAATACTATAGGCTAGTATCATTAAACATTGTAGGGAATCAATATACTCTCATTGACACTAGTCCACTGACACACGGTCTTAATATGAACTGTTTGCATAATCCCATACGCAATTTTTATTGACATAACAAACAACAACAAACAAACTGTTCATTATTTCGCTGTGAGACACTTCAACATTGTCTTAACTCTATCTTACAGAGAAAGTGCCCAGATTTCTAATTCAGTCTACACACTAGTATTGACCCCTTTAAATTTGCATCTGTGTGCATTCACAACACTTGTGTAGCCAATCCATTATCTGTGTAAGGATCAGTATCAGTCATAAGTGGTCAGAGCTCTTTTCACATTCACTTTTTCTGTTGGGCTAATTACTTATTCCTTGAGTTACCCACCCATCTGATTCTATTACAGGTCAGATTCCCCTCCTTCCAGACACATGAGCTTGTTTGAGAACTTACTTTGTACGGTAGACTCATTAGCTACATTCATTGTGGGACTTCTCTTTGAAAATGTAGTCTTCTGGGCAAAAAAACAAACTAATTGTAGTCACTAATATGATCAAAAATGCTTCCATATATTGTGAGCGGTACAAAATCACGAAACTCCCGAAACTCCTAACCCTAACCCTAACCCTTTCATGTTGGGGGTCTATATCAATATACATCTTTATTGCACATTAATTCGTTGCTGTACGTGTCCATAATCCAAAACATTATGTTAAGCATACAGACTAAATAGCGAACGTTTAATATCAGCATTGTCCAATCAGTCTCTTGGTCAATGACACAATACGAAATCTAACTTCTCCTATCTCTAGACTCGGTAGCTATAGGAGGGCTGGGCTAATATATAGAGGCACTGCTGGTAAATCAAGGCGTTTCTCGAGTATAGACTTCTAGTTTCTCAAAACATGTATATTTTTTTGCTTCTCGTGAGAAATTATTTACCGAACTATTTGTAATATTTGTTATGATAGTATGAACACTACGTGATTATAAGTGGAGAGTTCTTCATTGTTTTCCTCGGCAATTTAATTTTTTTTAAATTTCAGTTTATTGTTGATGCTTTAACTTTCTGTTCATTTATCCAAGTGTAATGTTGATCGTCATAAACAGTATTGACTTGCTATCTATTAACAAATACAGCTGAGATATATATATATATACTATATATTTGCAACTTGCATAGCCGATATGATAGTTGTAGTATGACCTGTGTATGATGAAACCATTCAGGTCTTGTTAGCAGTCAAAATCCATTCCTTTTGTGTGTGTGTGTGTGCGTGTGTGTGTGTGTGTGTGCGTGTGTGTGTGTGTGTGTGTGTGCGTGCGTCTACCCGTTATGTATTTGTTGTTTGTTCTCTGTACATTATGTGCCTGGAGTAAGAAATATCTAGAAATATTTCAAGGCTTAGTGCAAATCTCTTTCGAAGTTTATTATTTTTACTTATCGCAGCTGTTTGTGCCTGAGAATATTGTTTGTGTCAGCGATTCATATGTGTGAGATCCCTCTCCCTAGAATTTACCTGTATTAACAGCACTTTTGTAGTCTTGTGCAGTTTCTCTTAGTTGCTGTAGGCCTATGTCTGAAGTTATAGAGATGTGGAAATAGACCTTTGAAGGAACTAATTACTAAACAATACGTTTTATTTCTTCTTGCTGCGCAGTTGATTAAAACAAATCATACTCGTGTGTCAGAAGTGTAGAGTGTCAGTTAGTGTCTGTTTTATTTATTTAATTAAAGCAATAAAATTAAAAACAAGCATACTAAGACAGTACAATGTACTTAACACTTTTCATTTTTGATTATTATTATTAATTATGTTCTCAACAGCTTCCCAAACACTGCTATTTTCATTCTTTTACTTACAAAATTCGATTATAGTTTTTGTTTATGTTTCCAATGGAAAGAAATCTCATTACAGTATTTGTCCATGTTGTTTTTGTTTGTTTGTATTCATGAAGAAGAAGGGACATTGGCGAACTAATTAAAGAGAGGACTGTGTTGGATGGAATTAAGATATCGAATGTACCAATAAACAAACTATGCGGGAGATGTTGTGTAAGATCTTAGGTCCAAAACTAACTGTGGGATACACTTCATTGCTTTCAGTTTTTCATTAAGAATATGCATTTGTATTATAATGAAAGGCGATGCAAAATCAATAAGCAGCCTATAGCAAGTGTTTCATCCTAGATTGCAGTACTTAGGAACTCCTCTGTAGCTACACTGGTTAAAAGTAGAAGTCAGTTACATTTGCTTACTTCCGACCTTTTGTTTTGTTTTAAATACATAGATTGAACGAGAACACAAACTTCATTTAGACTTAGTGACACAACTTTTACTACTAGATTAGCTATCACCCAATTTCTCAGGTAAGTAGCAATCAAGTTTTGATAGGCCATTATGAAGCTTGTATCGTTTTCTTGGCTTTAGTTCCGCTAGAAAGATGTTGAGGAGACCTAACGGCGATTCTAAATCTAGCTATCTCTGCTGACTATTTGACAATGTCCTGTTCTCCCTTGCCTCTCTCCCAGCCAGGAGCTGGCTTTGTCTATCTCATTAACCTTTTATGCTACATTGCTTGACCTTTGAGAGTGCCAACGACCTTGACGTAGTCGACTTTCACTTTCCCAGACTACTTTTTTCACCACTCGATCTATAAACAAGTACATTAACATCCTACTTTCTTATGTCAATTTCACTTGTTATATTTGAGGGAAACTGTAGTTTGAATGTAGATTTCACTTGCTATTGTTTAATGTTTTGTTATGTGTTATGGACGATTGTAAGACAAATTTCCCCAAGGATTACAAAAAATTATATATGAAGTGATTCTCACATGATTATAGAAATAGTTCACTTGTATTAAGCAGAGTTTCTGTACAATACAAGTCTGTAATGCTCTCGCAAGGTACCTCGATGCTTTAGTAACTACTTTGAAACTACTAATAAATGAATTATATGACCAACATCACTAATTAGTCGGCGTGTAAATATGAATCAAGTCAGAGGTGATGGTGGTGGGGGGTCACACTATGCCATTTAGTTATTTCTAAAGCCTCGAGTGCAGTCCCTTGAGTTATTCGTCCCCAGTTCTTGACACGTTTCTCATCTAGCCAGCAAGTGGGACAGAGTTTTGAACATGTCCTCCTCTTGTTTGGGCCCTCCTCTTTGTGGCTACGGTCTATGATGGATGGCGACACTCGAGACTGCCATTATGGCAGTGCTCAATTCAACGGACCGTTTGTCTGGCAGACTTAGGTTATCAATAGCATTATTAACCCTGGCGGATCAATAACTGGATCCATCAATTGGGATCTACGGCGACCTCATCTTATTTGTTCTTCGTTACCTCGCCTTCTCAATGGATTAATATGAAACCAGAAGTTTAGTTGAAACTACTTTATTCAGTATTGAAATTATAATTATATTTACTATTTTAATATCAGTTTGATTTCCTAATGACAGTAGAGGGTGCTGGCAATATTTATGTTGTATTGAAATTAAATAATACATTCATATTTTAGATGATATGCATTTTAAATGTTTAAATATCATTTATAGCCAGAATATAGTCTAGTACTATATAATTTGAATGATTCAGTGGTATCTTATCAAGGACAGGCATAGAGACCAAATATAAATTCTCGGGACCCTTTTTCACTGAACCATTGAGCCGATCATTATCACACCTCTCACATTATCAGAGGCTTCTCTATGGTAAACATTTTAGTGTCGATGCTACACCATGCTATATCTGATACCTTAACAGAACACACATAACGGTATCTACCGTATTAATGACTGATACATTTACAAAACACTTTTATCATATGATCGATTTTTACTTTTACAATATTGTACTATTATTATATTACTATACTTTTATCTAACAGTTCGAATCTAGACTGTAGACTTACATTGCAGTGCTAGGAAAGTGTCTACCTTAAGATAGGCTGTTACATAACTGTTGTAATATAACCTAGTCACCATAAGTATTTGTTCACTTTTTGCACTTATAACTTTCAGGAACATCATATAATTACCTTAACATTTGACTTTGAAATTGCTGACATGAAATTAATATACAACAAAACTCACTGTAGAACAGTTCATCGATTTATTTCTTTTTGGTTCAACTGCAGTTAGTTACACAATAGTACAATCCTCGATATCTATAACATTTAGTCTATAGTAGCTCACAACTCATATACACCTTTTCCCTTTCACTATATGGCTATTTACTTCAACACTAATCAACTGGTAGCTGCTATTACCTTTTTTTTTTATAGCATTGCATAGGCTGGTATTGCATTATTCTATTCATAAGAAGTGATATTGACCAGCAAAATGACTTCCTACACTAGTGTCCTGCTGTAATCTAAACTACATTTGAACCAGTTCTGCATCACCGTAATTCCTCTGCTCCTTGAGACTGTCTGCAGCTTTTGTCAGCTAGCTACAACTGATTGAAGGGGACCAAATGCCATTCAACACTCCAATTTGGCCCAGATTCAACCAGCTCCAGACTAGCATGGCTTTTTTACCCCATTCACTGCTTCATTCGTCTTCTGTCTTGCTTTTGTTTTCCTGATTTGTGCTGCTCTTGTTAGGCCATCTTTGCCAATCAGCCATGTCACTGATCGGTCTCATTTGTATTTTATTTCAACTTTCGTGACATGTTAAAGGCAAACACCATGATTTCTCTACATTCTAATAGTATTGTTAGGTACTGAAAAACGGCAGTAGATCAAGCCAAATATCAGGTCAGCAACAACTGTGCCATAAGCAACTCTGCATTAATCTAAATTCATTCAAAAGGCCATGCATTATTTCAACGTGAACATACTGGCAGATTCTCAAACTGTCGATTTAATATGGGATGTATTTATGTTGGGAACGTCTGCTATATCAAATAGTAGTTAGTCTTCTAGACTGAAGTTTGTGTGAACAACAAATAATGTCCAGACTAGAATTGTAAAGGTAAACAACATGCACTATGTTCAGAAACAAGCAAAACAAATGTTAGTAACTCGTCAACGTGAGCAACTAAGGTGGAAAAAAAAACCAATTTAGAAATTCAGAAAATATCATTTACACTTGTTGAACAATTTCTTTAATGCCTATCTTGAAATGGTTGTTTCATTTAACAAACACTGGTCACGCCCAATTTAAGGTATAGATTTTAGGTTGCATTATTTGATCTATACTCCCTCCACACACATTTTTTTTCAAGAGTCTTTTACCAGGCTTATCATGTAAATCATTTAGAAACTACACTTAGAAGTGTAGACATTTGGCATCATTTTTAGTCACTCATTCCCTCTCACTTACACACATACACGCTACTCAAATAAATAATTAAATACACACTTAAACGTTTTCTTTATTTAATTAAGATGCTACATTTCTCACGTGTAATCAATTTCACACTTGCTACTGATTCTCATCTTAGACGTTACAATTTTACTTCCTCATATGTTACTCTTTCATATGTTACTCCCACATGCTTTCCCAACACTCGAGTAAATGTCTAAAAGCGTGCAGTTCTTAATACCTGTATGCGTCTAATTGCTTTAAATTTACTATATTCTTTTCTGTCAGCTATCCTAGCAAAAATATTAGATCCGAAACAAAGAAAGACTGGGGTTTCTTTTAGAAATCAAAGTCATGCAATATTCGTACTACTCGTGAATTACAATCCAATATCAAATTTGTGCTGCTAACAACTTTATCAGAGGTTTATCTGGAAGTGGGAACATCGAAACATAAACTTGTCTACCCAAACCTTTTGTGCTGGTTCTTGGAATCCACAGAGCATTCGAAATAATCGACAATAGAATTTGATGCTAATGAATGTCGTAAATGCTTCAAATTATTATTTTTTAATAAAATTATAATTTCAAGCAAAACAAATATTTTTGACAGCTTACTTTTGAGTAGCTAGTCATCAAGCTATCTTGGATCTATGTTCTGATGTCTAGACTAATAGTCCACACCATAGCTCAAGACTATACAATTCGTGTTGATTTCTAGTGTGTCTTGAGCATTCAGTAGTAAGAAATACAAAAGTTCAAGCACTAATAAGGAAGTTTTAGAAGTACTGAACATTGTAGGCAAAAAAACAATAATTTCCCCCCCCCCCCCCCCCTCAAAAAAAAAAAAAGAAAGAAAATTTGTTTACAAAACTCAAAGTGAATCTTTATTAGGAAAGTTTCTTTTTAAGTTGAATCTGGTTAATGAGTACATTCTATGAGCATGCGTACAGAAAGAATGGTTAAAAAGTCAGCATTAGCAGCTCCAACAAGTTGCATCCCAAATTTGCAATCAAGAAACGAATGACATACTTACCAGTTGTTGACAGGTGAAGTTTATTGTAGCATAATTTCCGAGAGAAAAAAGAAAGATAAATCTAATTGTTAGAAAAAAAAACCTGACGTCATCAGTATCACATGATCTTTTCAGATAACTGTTAGATATATGGAAAACGAAATCCCTATTTTTTGAAAAGTTGTCTATAACTTGAGCTCAATCTATTAAAAGCACTCCAATGTATCTTGGTGTATATAGGCGTCACGTCTGGTTGGCGTCACTCGTTAGAGCATCACAAACCAATCCCTTTTCTCCTCTGACCCGCATGGTAGAATCGGAAAGCACAGACCTATTTCTTGGGCCCATTGTCTCAACATGCTTGTCTCCCCCTCATCACCTCCAAATGCCTGAGAGAAACAATAATACCTGGGCTCAGCTGTACTCTCGCTTTAGTTGTCTGGAGTTATGTGTGTGTGTGTGTGCGCTCACTAGCATGTGCACGTGCACGACTGTGTACCTTGTTCAAATAGGTATGAAGGGAGGGAGGGAAAACACGTGGATTATCTCTTGTTGGACAGGTAACCTTAAGAACATGGAGCACAAAGTAAAATAGGAAGGATGAACACAAAGTTCTGAAACACTGTAACCCCCCTCCCCAATAGCAAAGAGTTGCGATGGTATGAAGATTGGAAGAAGTGATATAGTAATTAATTTTAGTAAATATAGCTCTAAATAAATAGATAGGTAAATAAAATAAATAGGTAACATCCCAGGTCAGCTCCCGAAGTTTCCAGTTGCCTTGCATCATCATCATTTTCTCTTCCCCCCTCCCCCTCCTCCTCTAGTAGGTCATGCCAATGTGTGTAGGTATGTGGAAGCGTGCTGCAAGTACCATCAGCACCCGTCCCTAACTTTCACCTTTCTAGCAAGGGTAAACAGAGTAGTGAAATCACTTTGGCAGCGTGAGCTGTATCCAAGAAACGACCTACTTTTAGAATGAGCCAGTTTATAAGTAACGTTTACATTCAGTTTTCTTCATGTTTTAAATTTCACAGCCTGATTGCGTAGGGAAAATGCATAAATACTATAGTTGTACATGACAATAAAATGTCTAAACAACGAGTCTAAAACCTGCAATCCCCAGTTCATGTTCCAGCCTAGTTTTACTTACCTGGTCGAGAAGAAAGCTTCCTATAAGGTCATAGCACTCGGATCCACGGCACAACGGCCAGGTAAATCTGGTGTGTGTGTGTCAGGTGTAGCGTGGGGAAGGCGAGTAGGGGGCGTGAAGGGGCAACCCCAAGGAATGTCTTGCGCTCACCATGTGCACCTGGAGGTTCAAGAGGACTGCCCTGGGCTTATATGAGCATACATTTGTCACGTCAATTAAACCCGAAACATAAGGCTAGTTTTGTCTGACATTCAGATACAACTCCCAGAAGAGACGAGCTTACTTTTAAAGACACAATTACCGTATGTCATCATGGCGGCTGCTATAACTTTCTGTACATAAGCTTCACAAAGTGGACTGAAATAAAAATATCTTTTATTCAAAGTTTAAATAGAGACTTGCTCAAAACTGAAAGGCTTCAAAATAACCAAAAGGCAATTGAATTTTAAACAAAAAATCTAAAAACAAAAAAAAACAAAAAACAAACAAACAACAAAGCTTTTATTAAGTGCAACTGTATCAGTTTGTATCGTTAAAAGCTTTGTGAAAAAATGTGTAATAGATCTAGACTCTAGACTAACAATTATAAATCTGTGTGATTAGATATTATTTTAACCACTGGTTTTTGTTTAGTGCAATGACATGCTTTTTGCTTTCTTAATGCCCTGTGATCCTATCACTTTCTTGGACTAGTTGGTGAAAGAATGGGGTATCTGTGTGAATGTTATCTTGATCGTTTTTAAATACATTAAAAACGAAACTTGAAGAACTCGAATTCGAACTAAGGGCGCAAACCTCCTCAAGCTAACACACTAACCACTTTGCCAGCGAAGTGCTTAAAAATATAGAAGGTTTTATCTATTGTTAGTTTTATACTAAACCTACACAAAGTATAAAAGAGACTAATTCAGTTTATACCGCTACATCAGTCAAGTGCAATTTCTTTCCCTTGTTCGATATCAAACAATAATTAATTACCGATTGTTAAAGAACTAAGTGGCTAATTATTTTTTTTTTAGTGATTCTTGTTTTATCAGGCACAACAAATAATTGTGCAAATTCAAACTTCATAAATCTTCATACGAGAATGGGTGTGAAATAACGTGTTCAAACATTTTACCAGACAGAGATAGACAGAGTGACTTGATATAAGCTTTGTAAAAAGCATCCCGTTTAGACCTTGCAATCTATAGGGCAGATGATGTAAGTTCATCTGTTTCTTGGGCATAAGGTGTTGTTGTGTCAACGAACAACTGCCTTTATTTTTCCCCAACTAATGTCAGGTATTCATTAAAGTTGGGTGTACTCAGTGGCATCCCGGAAAAGTAAAGGTGGTTGGTCGTTGTGCTAGCCACATGTCACCCTCGTTAACCTTGGGCCACATATAAAGATGACTTTCATCATCTGCCCGATAGATCACAAGGTATGAAGGGTACTTATATATGTATATACACACACACAAATAGCGCTAGTATCCGTCTTCTTTGAAAACTTGTTATTCACACAGAATTAATTTATAGCCATTAATTTGTTTTTTTTTTCTTTGACGATACTTGAAAATAATGCAATCATAATGATAATTATTTATTTTGATATTAGCGATTATACAAGAAGTTTTGCCAATGCTAAAAATTGCTTAAAAAGATGACCACTTAATTTAGCAAAAAACAACAGTTTATTACTACTTCCTTTCTTCTGTACACCGGATACACCAAAAAGCTTGCTTGTTTATGGATTTGCCTCCATGTATACAAATGAAAATCTTACATATAAATGAGTCCCATTTTAAAGCACATCTATGTTTTTATTCCAAAGTACTTCACATTGGTCTCAAAGTAGCTCTTATTTTGTATAGCAATAAATACAAAGTTCTACTTCATGCTAAGGCATAACTATGTTTAGTAGCATCTGATCATGACACGTAGTCTCGACTACGTATACCACTTCTGTTGAACAGAAGGGGGGAAAATACTAACGGTGTGTGTATCAGATTGAAAGTATTTTGTTTTCAAAGTATTTTGTTTTCAATGTCCAGTACTTACACAACGGTTAAT